TTTGAAGATGTTGAAGTTATTGAAAACAAGTATTCTATGGCTGGTGAGAGATACCCTGATTGTTTTGTCAGTTCAAAGGAATATCTCAGTGTATGCTCTTTTCCCAACCTCTTTTAATAGCCGTTAATCCACTAATTGCCTCTCTCCCTCTATTCTATTGCACTTTCTATATTTCATTTTTGTTTCAATGTATTATACTATTTCCGAATGTGCTTGTAAGCTGCTCTTCTTTCCTGATACATTAAAAGCTAGATGAGACGAACAAGTTTTGTGGTCAAAGTATGCAATCTCCATTGAGGAAGAAGATCATTACTATTCTCAAGAGGCCATATGACCAGTCAGAGTATGAAAATCTTTTGAAGCATGCCAAAGTTCGACTGCCTATGGAAAGAAACATGGATTTGAGGAATGGGAGAGATATAGCATACAGTGCAAATAAGAAAGCAAAGTCCCTTCTTGACCACCACAAAGGTAAGGTTTATATTTGCCGCTATTTTGTTTCAATATTACCAATTTTTATTTCCTTTACAAGTTTCCATACAGATGCCATATGATAGTTTCTCTTCATGGTATGTGTAATATGTGCTCGCATTTCTAATTATGTCATTGAACTAGCTTTGTATATCTAGTATGATGGGCCTTATCTGCAGTCTTCCATCTGATGGGGGCCTGTAAAACCATCTTTTTTACACTTCTTGGAAACAAATATCGGTGGGTCCAGAAGGCACATTATTTATGTGCAAGGTGTTTTGTTTCTTGTAATTCTATTCTTTCCCTTGTTAATATGAGCCCCCATATTGTGGTTTCAACTGGTATATATTTATGCTCCGTGTACAGTTTTTCGACTCATTCATACATACCATGTCTCTTTATTTCATATGGTATCGGATCAACAGGCTCGGTAGGTTAGGCATCTTCAGTGATTTTCACAGCCCCCCTTTATCCGGAAGCCTTCTCTCTCTTTTGCGCACATAACTTTTTTTTTTCGGGTTCTTCGTCTGAACCATCACCATCCCTGGGACTGCATGTCTATGGTGCTCATCTGTTTCCAAAAGCCCAATGTCAGAGACTCAGAGCCCCCCTCGTGCACCCAACAGCCGTGCCTCCATTGCACACTTGCACCTCCTGTTGCTATTTATGAAGATCTTCTTTTCCTAGAAGAATTTGAAGATCATGCCACTCTTAGTTCTTAGTAGTTAGTACCGTGAAATGTATTTTATTGCTTTTGTTAGATATATAGAGAAGTACTACCTCTGCCCCCCTAAGATTGGGATTTGGGAGTGGTGTGGGTATTAAGAAAAGTGGAGTTATGTGGTTGGTATTGAATTAGTAAAGTGTTAATAACGTAAGATTGAATTTCAATCACCCAAATATTACCAAATATGGTACGAAACAAACTTAGAGAGACAAATGAAAAAGGTAAATGGGTAAAAATTAAATGGTACGAAACAAACTTAAAGATAGAGGGACGGAGGAAGTAAAAATTAATACTGAAACTCGTCTGAAAGAAACCCCTAGCAAACCATACCATAGTTCTTTGGGAAGAACTACTTTACTTATTAACTTAATTTGATAATTTATCATGCAGATATCAAGGATAAACTAAAAGCAGCGAAAGCTAACAAACGTAAAAGGTTGAACATTTTGCGCGGATTTTTCTTTTGGCTTCAGGTAAGTGTTTTTCACACTTCCCTAATATATTGACTTATGGTATCCCTATTATGGGTGACGTATAAGTAGTTCTTTATCTCTTCTAGCTCCTGCACCCCACCCCCCCTCTCTTCTCTTACTTGCATGCTAACAGTCTGCTACTCTGCTATCACTTTTATTCCGTTCTTATTTATTTCTTCTGAGTTTGACACACGTAGAAAAGACACAGGCAGTATATTTTGTGGGTTTAGATTTAAAGAGTATGTTAGTTTAGTAGTTTGTTTTCAGAATAAAGATGGAGTATCAAAGTGTGGAGGCTTGATTTGTCGCATTATTTATTGTTATAAACTTAAACTTTCTGTTCAAAACAACATATATCTTTTTTTTTCCTTTGCTGGTAAGCCAGTTGTTGGATGATCATTAAATAGGTTTGTAGGTTTATAAACAGGTCCTCAGGCCATCCTTTGAAACATTTACTTTTATTTTCCAAAAAGTTTGAACATACACCATAACTATTTTCACTACATTCATTTGGTTCAGCTTCTTAATTTTCATATGAATCATTTGAAAGGAGCTAACTCAACTTCTAAATGTCTTGCAGTTGTACCCCACCCATACTCATGACAATATTACATTCCAAAGTATCAAATTCAATCCTGGTAAAATTTTGCTGACTTGGCAATTCAAATACAAAACTAAATTTTTCATTACAATGTATAAGAGCTCCCACATGGATAAGTGTTATGCACAACAATACTCGACATGCCAACATATACTTAACACCTCTCAAGATTGTCTAGAGCCATTATTAGATGGCATTACAATTTTCATGTGTTTTCTCTCCTTAAACTTGGCATCATGATGTGGCATCTAGGGTGTCTTTGGATACCAGCTTAGCAAAGTTTGACCGTAAATCCGTAATCAATGTTGGTACCACCATGGAATGTAATATTTGACATGAGTAGGAGTACCACTGGATACATTAAAGATTAGAATAACTAGAAATTTGTCAGCTAAGATTTTGTTTTCTCATGCAGCTTTGATAAGTCCTTCGATCGTTGACAAAACTATAGAATAATAACCTAAGTATTTGCTCAATTGTGGCAGCATTTGGCTCAGGAAGGAGTATTTAAACCTTGGACCGATACAGCTTGTCTTGATATTTTGCCTTCATATCGATGACTCTGAACTTTTCAGTATCTATTAATGTTTTATGTACAGTAATACAATATTACTTCTGATCAGCTTCATTTCCCCAGCAAGGCTGTAAGTACGATGTAGTGCCCCACAGATAAGCACAATTCAATGCACTCGTGTCACAAATGTCTGGAAGTTTTGCTTTATCGTTGAGTTATGTCATGTAAATAAGAACCAAGTACGAATATTTTTCCCTCACTTGGTTTTTAGCTCGTTTATTGATATTTTAGACTATCATTATCCATTAGCAATATTCTAAAAGGCGGCACCTAGCCAGGCATGAGGCGGTGGGAGAACGTCTTGCATGGTAGGAAAGCGTGTAAAAGGCAGTCAACTGTAACATTGATCATCAAAGGCTGAAAGGTGTGAAGAGGCGTAAGCTTAGGCGTGAAAGGTAAGGCTAGGCATGAAAAAGTGAAAGTTTTATATGATTTTTTTTGCAAAGAAAAAATTAATTAAATTTTAAAAATCACTTTTACAAACATTTTTGATAGAGTATATAGACTCGGACCCCCGGGTCTCACGACTATTGGGCCCGGACAGCGGCCCACATACGCTCAGTAGATAGCATTTATCTCATTGTACACTTTATTTATTCAGATGTATCCATTAGAATAGATTAGATATCATTTATTAGCCCTTTATTAGCCTTTTATTGTAACTGGGCCAGCCAGGCCCAAGCCTGGAAGCCCAACCCTCTTTTCTCCTATAAATACTCCCTATGGGAGCCATGTAAAAGAAGGAGATAATTGATTGGAATTCATTATATATATCACTTTATCTCTCTAGCTCTCACTTCTCTCTAAGATTAAATAATCTATCATTTGGTGCTTTCATTGAGAGCTAGAATATATCAAGTGAGATCCTCCCCAACCAACAAAACTCCACGTGAATAAACAAAGGGGTACCCTTCGGCCCCATTGGAGGCAGCATGCCACCTAGCTTCACGTAAATAAACGACCTTCGGCCATCATGCCGAATGTGTACTGTATCATACTAGATTTTTCACCCGTGCGTTGCACGGGATGAAATTTGTAAACTTGAAATTATTCAAAAATACAAAGACGTGTTGTAATAAAGATAAAAAAATATTACAACACATATACTATTTTTAACAAAAGTAAATGAAGGTAAATATCAATGCCTCAATGGATAATCAGTCTTGTAGTTTGGGTTGGGTTGTGCGGGATGAAGTGGGGGAGATCGTGCATGGATGGAGGAACTAAACTGTGGACAGGTTGTTGATTCCGTTGGAAGCTGAAATGTTAAGTATAACTGTATAAGGGAGGCTTTGAGCTAACTTAAAGATCAACCTTGGGAGTTCATCGAAATTGAGTCAGATTCATTATTGGCTATTAATTAAATCAAGGGGCGTAGCCATGAGTAAGAGTTGGTCTTGGCTCGGTTGGCCACTCCTGCACCTCCGCCCCTGATTGAAATCAAGAACAGTTCCAGTCTATCAAGTATCAGTTTGATAGCAGAGGATGTTCGAGAGTTAAGCTCAGAGTTTGTCAACATTTCATTTTCCCACAGTAGGCGTTCAACAAATTTAGTCGTTCATATCTTAGCTATAGTGGCGAAGTTCTATGTCTGTTAGTCATGTTTGAACGCTTTGTCTTTTGATCTCATTAATGCTCATTAAGTTCATTTTATTCAAAAAACAAAAATGAAGATACAAAATTATAAATTTTTTTATACGAAGTATTTCATTGTAAATAACATTTAAAGTCTTTTCGACTGATTTTCCGTCACCACGACATAAAAATCCTCTGTGGTAGCACTGAAATTGGCTAAACCAGATAATTTTGCTGAAATTTATGAAGTTCTATCTGAAGTGGTTGGATTAACTATTTTGCTGATTTATGAAAATATTATATTTAAAATATATGTAGTATCTTATTAATAAAGTAAAGAAAAAAATACATGAAAAATTAGCTAAAATAGTCCTCTACAGACTACAGTAACTTCAGCCAATTAAGTTAAGAAAGTAACTTTAACCTTACTTTTTCTTATTATTACATAGTTCAACCCGCTAAATCAAATTTACGTGTTTAGTTAAAATGTTAATTCCGAAAATTTACGTGTTTGGTCAAATTTACGTGCCTGATAAACCGAAAAACAGAGTCACCAAACGAACTCATAAAAAACTTCAACTCAGATGGAGACGTTACTCATGAGACTGAGATGTAAAGCTATCCATGAGTAAAATTCAAGTAACATAAGAAAACATCAACCCATCGAAAGACAGTCTCGGACTCCTTTAAAGGTCATGGCCTAACTAATTAAGCATAAAAGGGAATTGTCTACACTTAAATGTGAACCAAAGTTTAAGGTTAGATGGAATCAAGCTAAATTTTTGAATAAGAAATTTTTGGCCTGCATTTCTTCCCAACATCACTTGAGGTATTGAGAATATGTCTACCCACGTTAAAGCTTCAGCTTCAACTCTGGAGAATGAATATGATTTATTGAGGGAGTTCAGTGTCGGAGTAAGAGGAAGACAATATGATGACTTTCACCTGGTTCACCACAACATCATCTCATGATCCTGAACATAATATTGAAATCCGCCAAGAATTAGATAATCAACACTCTATTTTCTCTTTAAAACAATCAAAGTTCAAAAGTAAAAGAATTGCAAATTTATCTAAAGTTCTGGTCATTTCAAACATATCAAATCCAGAACTTAAGAAAATAAAATAAAAATACTATTATGTTAAGTTTCTTACTTGGCAGCAAGGAACAAAATTAGCACCTTTCTTACTGTTATGATCTAAATGTTCCTAAGGATGAGTTAACCTTAGCAATAAGATGGTTATGAACAGTTCATCCACTCACTACCATTATTCTTGAGTAGAATGAATAGATATTATATGCATGTCTATCAAATTCTTAACACATCGACGATTCTACAAAATGCATTTATCCTTCTTTTGTATATACATATATACTGATTCTTCAAGAGTAAGTTCTTTCTTGGTATATCCTTCTTCCACCGAATCCCAAAGATCATGGGATATAAAATATTCTATGGACCAAGTGAAGGAGTATGACTAAAATATTCACCAAGGCAGCAATACTGAAACTGCTGCTCTTGCTGTGGTTTTTTAGTGGAGCAACTGTGTATGTGTGTTAAGAATTAGGAATGCCTACCAGGTTTTAAAAAAAGGAATGCCAATATCAAAAGTAGTATAAATAAAATTAAATTTGAAATTTTGCAGATGCATTCTTAAAACTCTACTCGTATAAGAAACTTGAAAATATGGATGCATACCTCCAATTTGAATCCATGTGCACCTCTATGTTTGTATCCGACGGATACTATCCGTGTTCTCCTTGTTCATATGATCATCACCAAAAGAACCCTAGATCCAAGCAATCACTAACTGTCTCCAAATGAGATTTTATATTACTATATTACTTTTATGTATATATAAAAGCAATCACTATTAACCATTTTTAGCATTAAAATGTAAGACTGGGAGAGTAATTAAATGACATAAAGAGAATAATACATATAAATTTACTGATGTATATTTTTTTTAGTAATTTAAGGTTTTATTGTTTGTTATATTCTGATATATAAAATTATAGCACATTAAAATAACAACCCATATTGATAAACAGCACATTTATTTTAGTTATTAAAAATCTATATCAGTACCATACCAGCATCCCGTGCTCAATTTGTTTTCACACCTTCCACTATTTCAACTCTTTTGTTGCAGGGCAAGGATTTCATTCTCCAATTAATCAATTATGAACTAATGTTATAATAATATAAGGAAAGCAGAGAGTCCTTTTAAATCATAATGAACCATATCAGTAGTGACACAAATTTCATTATCACCGATTCATCAATATAGTTAGATATCATATTTCTTAATATTCACAAATGTTTTTTCTTTTTTAAACCTTAAACTTTTATTAAGGATATTTATAGTTATTCATTTTAATAAGAATCCCTCCTATGAGTGTAAAAAGGTTATGCCACACAATATTAAGTAAGTCGAGCTATAGATGTACTTATGTATAACAAAGTAGGGGAGAAGTAAGTAAAGCGAAACCCAAATGACTTTGCATGTAGATCTGTCTGCTAAAATTGAGCATACTTTTAAGCCTTATAAATTTTTTTATGAAAAAAGAGAAAACACTTATGTACAAATATGCTTAAAGGAATGGATGAGTGCAAAAAATGCTTTAAGGACTCAATGATTGTAAGCAAACAAAATCAATGTTCAGCCAACCATTTTTAACCGCTTCAATTTTCAAACCTCACAATATTAAAAAGTAGAAACAATAAATTGTGAGTACAAAACATGGAGTCTTATTAATCTTCATCTATGCGACAATCTATATGCATAAGTAAATATCTTATATCTATGAGCACAAGCATAGTAGATTCACGAAACTGAAACTTGTTGATGCCCATCAATCCTATTGTGCTGCTTCAAGATCATGAAATTTTTAAAATTGAAATGCTAAATTATAGCATTGAATTAGATTATTAACATATCTCTGAAATGATATTAAAAGATACGTGTTAATTGAAGTAGTGAAACCAAAGAGCCTGATAAACTAAAGTGTATGTTCTTCGTCATTAACATCTAGTAGAGATCCCCACTCGGTGGTGTCAATTTCAGAATCAGCCTTTTGACTTCACATGTTTATTCGTCACAATGTAAAAGAAGGAATCGGTTATTATATTTAAAGAAGGTGAATAACTAAATAAAGAATGAATATTGAATATGAATATAAAAAGACCTTAGTTTTGCTTGGTTTAATTTGTAGCAGAAGATCATCATTTATTTGAGATAATCTGAAATTGAAGAAAAACAGCTCCATAAGCAATTATAAAAATTTAAATTTGAATGAAGGAGCAAAGAGGAATTCATTGACCTTGAAGAGGACAATTGCAGGAAAATCGTTGTAACCTAAAAGGAGAGCAACCATGTTCTTCTCCATTGCCATAACTTCATTGTGTAGTCTCTTTAAACACAAATCTGGAAAGCTAAAATTCAGCCAGCCTCAAGACTGTGCAGACTTCCGAGCTTTTAGAGATTCCGTTGAGCGAATTGGAAGAAAATTGCGATGAAGAAGAAGAAATGCTTCTGAGCTTTTCAACTCGGAAGGATTCCGATGAGAAAAGAAGTGTTCTTTGCCATTTTCATCCATCTCGGAATGGAGTAAACTCGGATGGTCTGGGGTGTGAGAAAGGGAGTGAAGGATTGCAATGAGGGAGGAAGAGGCGAAAGAGAATGAACGATATTTTAATCAGAGTGGTAGATCTAGTTTTGGATCGTGCGGTTGATATGCTTTTGAGCTTTGAGCGGGAAAATGAATTTACACAAAGTAGTGCAATTATGTAGGATGATTATCATGCAACGGAGTAATGGACATATATCCCTTCGGCCATGTGTTACACGTGGAAATGAACATCCAGGCTACTGCCAAGTCCATCTCATCTCCTCGTTCAAGAGCTTGCTCAGCCAGTCAAAGTGAAATACAGAGGAAGGAACTGGAGGATGATACGATCCCCACCAGGCTTCCCTTCGTCCGCCCTCAACAGCTAAGTGTTCCACATCAGCCAAGGCAAACAAAAATGAGAACAACAAAGGGGAATGTTAGTCTCCAAGGCGTATCCGCTCAGAGTAACCCCAGCCGGCACACAGCGGCCAAATGCCACCACGGCTCAAAGTAAAGCAACTGGCAGCGGCCCCTTGTCTCCACCGGCGCTCAAACGCTCTTCATCGGCCAGAAACTGCATAAGCAACCGCCTCGGTCAACGCCACTTCAGCCGGCACCCGCTTCGGCAGCATACATCGTTGGCCGCATCTCATCGGCCCCGCCGCGGCTGAAGTGTACAAAAGGGAACCAAAAGAGGGGCGCCCCAATGGGGCACCTACGGCCAGAATTCCCGCTTCGGCCAAGCAATCTGGGATGGCAGGTCCTCGGCCAAAGACTGGCTCAACAGAGTACTCATGTGCATCATCGGTCACCTGTGCATCCCGTCGGCTAAACAATAAAGGGAAACTTCCCATCGGCCCACAACTGCGCGCTTCGGCCAGCAATTGCATTAGCCATCAACATTATCGGCGGCCAACACTTCATCCGCCAATACTTCATCGGCTGGGCACACATCGGCCGGCAACACAATCAGCCAAGCAACCCATCAACACTTTCGGCGGACTACACTTCATTGGCCGGCACTTCATCCGCCAATACTTCATCGGCTGAGCACGCATGGTCCGGCACCGCATCGTCCGGCACCACATCGTCCGGCACCACATCGTCGGCACTGTATCGGCCGGCAACGCTTCAGCCGGCACCGCATCGGCCACAACAAGGCCACCCCGTCAAGCGACCGCATCGTCCGGACTGGACCGCATCGTCCGGGCTGGACCGCATCGGTCAAATGAGCGGACCATCGGCCGGAGAAGTCCCACCACGTCGTTCCTGGTTCCGAGTGGCCCCAAATCACGGACCCCTCGGCCGATTCGTGGTCTCTCGGCCAGGCGACGGTAGAGCAGCGGCGCACCACCTTGGCCTTGCGACGGCCAGAACAGACGGATGATTCCGGCAGGGACGACGGGAATCTCCTCGTCCCCAATAGACTCCAGCGACGCGGGGAGTCTCCTCGTCTCTGTTTCACGCTCCACTCCGTCGAACCAACTCCTCCCCTTCGGATGAAATCAACTTAGACAAGATCTGGGACCAGCATCCCAATTGGAGTAGCGGGCTGATTAAATGTGGGCCGACTATTAATCTCAAGGGCCCTGGATTCTTAAAGAGCAGGCCCAAATCTTATATTCCCTCTTTTAATTCTAAGCAAGGCAGGCTTCGGCCCAAATACAAGTAAGTGCCACAAAATTTTCCTCCTATTTTATGCATTAAATATGGAGCAAAAATAGTTTTATCACTACTCAAAAAAAATATATATATAGTTTTACTACTATTCCGGAAAAAATAGTTTTACTACTATTCCAAAGAAAAAAAGAAAACAATAATAATAATTGCTACTATTATTATTATCTTCACCACCATTGCTAGCGGATTGAAATCCCCAATTGGTGCGGGCCAAAGCCTTAACCTTCCGAACATCTTTATTTGATGATTCGGATCATATTTGGGTCCATTGACCTACCATGGTCATCTTTATTTGATGACCCGGGCATCTAGAATGAGAGCCATCAACGGCCGCACACGACATTATGCCTAGAAGCGGTACACCTCATTCCCCTACACGCTAATTGCGTCATCCAAAAGCCGTTGCAATAAACAACGCACCTAAAGCCGTCGCAATAAACGACGCACCCAAAGCCGTTGCAATACACAACGCACCTAAGGCCGTTGCGATCCACAACGCGCCTACGAAGCCGTTGCAATAAACAACGCACCTAAATATCGTATCGGCACAAGCGGTGAAACACCCAAATCGGCCGGCGATATGCAGGACGAAGGACCTGTGTGCATGGTCCAACGTCTTCAAACGGAGAAGCATACCGCGTCGTCCGCGCGGAAACCGCAGGACGACAGGCCTGAATTAAGGCTGAGGTTACAAAAACTCCACCCGTCAGTAAAATTTCGCTCAGGACCACAAAGGGCGGCCGTCAAAAGACGATGCCTAGTCCGGTCCCTCGTCGCCGTTAGACGTGGAAAGGCAAAAAAGGATGCCACTAACACACCAAGCCGAGGGCGTATTTACTCCCTCGCACTAACACACGCGAAAAGCGTAGCGGACAAAATACCGCACATGGACGAAGGGACAGTAACCCTTCGGCCATCAAAAAAAAAAAAAAAAAAAAAAAAAAAAAAAGAGGGAAGCCGACGGACCGCGCACTTGCCGGCCTCGAGCAAAAAAATAATAAATAAATTCCCCAAACTTATTATTCATCTCAAGACCGGCTCCCAATGCCGAAGCTCTTGCTCCATCATTTCATGAACGGCCCCCGAACGCCGTCATGCCTCTACATTATTGGGATCGGCCTCATCATCGCCATCCGCACATCACGATCGGCCCCCCGGCCTCGACGTGATGATCTAGCTCAAGACCGGCTCCCTCAGCGCCAAGTGTCTTGATCTAGCGACTGGGCTTGCTATTCCCTTCCGGGATAGCAACCGTCGCCTCTACATGACGATCGGCTCATCTCCGCCTCGTCATCATTATTCGGATCGGCTCATCATCATCGCCATCCGTTCTTCACGATCGGCCCCTCGGCCACGACGTGATGTTATATCTCAAGATCGGCCTCCTTAGTGCCAAGTGTCTTGAGCTAGCGACCGGGCTCGCCATTCCCCTCCTGGATGGCGACTATCGCTTCTACATGACGATCGGCTCATCTTCGCCTCGTCATCATCCGGATCGGCTCATCATCATCGCCGTCCGCCCATCACGACCAGGCCCCCGGCCTCGGCGTGATGCCTTATCTCAAGACCGGTCTCCTTAGCGCCAAGTGTCTTGAGCTAGCGATCGGGCTCGCCATTCCCCTCTTGGATGGCGACTGTCGCTTCTATATGACGATCAACTTCATCATTGCCTCGTCATCATTATCCAGATCGGCTCATCATCATCGCCATCTGCTCATCACCACCGGGGGCCCCGCCTCAGCGTGATGCTTTATCTCAAGACCGGCTTCTCATCGCCGAGTGTCTTGAGCTAGTGACCGGGCTTGCTATTCCCTTCCAGGATAGCAACCGTCGCCTCTATGTGACGATCGGCCTCATCATCGCCTCGTCATCATTATTCGGATCGGCTCATCATCATCGCCATCCGCACATCACGACCGGCCTCCCAGCCTTGGCGTGATTATTTCTTCTCAGAGACCGGCTCCTCATCGCCAAGTGTCCTGAGCTAGCGACTGGGCTTGCTATTCCCTTCCGGGATAGCAACCGTCGCCTCTACATGACGATCGGCTCATCTCCGCCTCGTCATCATCATTATTCGGATCGGCTCATCATCATCGCCATCCGCACATCACGACCGGCCTCCCAGCCTTGGTGTGATTATTCCTTCTCAAGACCGGCTTCTCATCGCCAAGTGTCTTAAGTTGGCAATCGGGCTTGCTGTTCCCTTCCGGGATAGCAATCGTCGCCTTTATATGACGATCGGCCTTCACATCGCCTCGTCATCATATGTTGGACCGGCTCATTATCGCCGTCGTCCTCACATCGCGTCCGGCCTCTCGGCTAAGGCGTGATACCTTATCTCAAGACCGGTCTTAGTCATCCCTTCCCGGATGGCGACCGTTGCTTGGATCTTCGGATCGGCTCATCATCATCGCCATCCGCACATCACGATCGCCCCCCCGGCCTCGACGTGATGATCTAGCTCAAGACCGGCTCCCTTAGCGCCAAGTGTCTTGAGCTAGCGACTGGGCTTGCTATTCCCTTCCGGGATAGCAACTGTCGCCTCTACATGACGATCGGCTCATCTCCGCCTCGTCATCATCATTATTCGGATCGGCTCATCATCATCGCCATCCACACATCACGACCGGCCTCCCAGCCTTGGTGTGATTATTCCTTCTCAAGACCGGCTTCTCATCGCCAAGTGTCTTGAGTTGGCAATCGGGCTCGCCGTCCCTTCCTGGATGGTGACCGTTGCCTCTACATGACGATTGGCCTTATCATTGCCTCGTCATCATATCTCGGACATGCTCCTCAGCATCTTCATCCTCACATCACGATCGGGGCCTTCGGCCACGACGTAATGCTTTATCTCAAGACCGGCTCCCTCAGCGCCGAGTGTCTTGATCTAGCGATTGGGCTTGCTATTCCCTTCCGGGATAGCAACCGTCGCCTCTACATGGCGATTGGCCTATCATTGCCTCGTCATCATACATTGGACCGGCTTATCATGGTCGTCATCCTCGCATCGCGGCCGGCCTCTCGGCCAAGGCGCGGTACCTTATATCAAGACTGGTCTTAGCCATTCCTTTACGGGGTGGCGACCATTGCATGGATTTTTGGGTCGGCCCCTCAGTTCCGATCATGGCAGGCCCTCAGCCTCGACGTGATCATATTCCCCAAGACCGGTCTCAGTCATTCCTTCATCGGATGGCGACCGTTGCTTGGACGTTTGGCTCAGCCTCATAGTGCTGACGACCTCGCATCACGATCGGCCCCCCGGCCTCGACGTGATGCCCTATCTCAACACCGGCTTTGTCAGCGCCAAGTGTGTTGAGCTAGCGATCGGGCTCCCCATCCCTTCCGGGATGGTGACTGTCGCCTCTACATGACGACCGGCTCATCTCTGCCTCGTCGTCATTATTCGGATCGGCTACCCATTATCGCCATCCTCATGTCACGACCGCCGCCTCGGCCTCGGCGTGATGATCTATCTCAACACCGGCTTCATCAGCGCCGAGTGTGTTGAGCTAGCGATCAGGCTCGCCATCCCTTCCTGGATGGTGACTATCGCCCCTACATGGCGACCGGCTTATCATCGCCTCGTCATTGTTATTTTGGATCGGCTCCTTATCACGGCCGTCCTCACATCACGATCGGCCCCTAGGCCACGATGTGATGTCCTATCTCCGAGACCGGCCTCTCATTGCCGAATGTCTTGGGTTAGCGATCGGGCTCGCCATCCCCTCCTGGATGGCGACCGTTGCCTATATATGATGATCGGCTCAGCATTGCCTCGTCATCGTATCATCAGACAGGCGTCCCACGCCCCGTCCTCATGTTCAGACAGGCGTCCAACGCCTCGTCCGCATATATTCAGACAGGCGTCCAACGCCTTGTCCCCACATTCAGACAGGCGTCCAACGCCTCGTCCTCATATTCAGACAGGCGCCCAGCGCCTCATCCTCATATTCAGACAGGCGTCCAACGCCTCGTCCTCATGTTCGGATCTAGCAAACATCTTGCGGTCTCCGGCTCAGAGACTAAAGGATCTCAGATCTCATCTATAGGCCCCTCGGCCACATCTTGCTCTAGCATCTTTATTTGATGACGAAGGGCTCTCATACAGGCCCATCGGCCATATATCTTGCTCCGTCATCTTTATTTGATAACGAGAAGCTCATCTATAGGCCCCTCGGCCATATACCGCTCTGTCATCTTTATTTGATGACGAAGAGCTCATCTACAGGCCCATCGGCCATATACCGCTCTGTCATCTTTATTTGATGACGAGGAGCTCATCTACAGGCCCATCGGCCATATATTATTCTGTCATCTTTATTTGATGGAGAAGAGCTCATCTACAGGCCCATCGGCCATATATTATTCTGTCATCTTTGTTTGATGACGAAGAGCTCATCTACAGGCCCATCGGCCATATATTATTCTGTCATCTTTGTTTGATGACGAAGAGCTCATCTACAGGCCCATCGGCCACATATCGTTCTGTCATCTTTATTTGATGACGAGGAACTCATCTATAGGCCCCTGAGCCATATCTCGCCCCGTCGTCTTTATTTGACGACGTGGAGCTCTTATGCAGGCCCCTCGGCCATACATCGCCCCGTCGTCTTTATTTGACGATGTGGAGCTCTTATCCAGGCCCCTCGGCCACACATCGCCCCTTCGTCTTTATTTGACGACGTGGAGCTCTCATATATGCCTCTCGGCCACTACTCCCAGTCATCTTTATTTGATGACGTGGAGCTCACATCGGCCCATCGGCCTCATATTCTGGTCATCTTTATTTGATGAACCAGACATCATATTATGGACGGTCGCTCGACCCATCCCTTAGTCATCTTTATTTGATGACTAGGACTACTGATCATGACGAGCTACCCACATCTATGGATCGGCCTCTGCCATCCCCTCGCTGCAGCTCCACCTCTAGGCCGAAGGGCTCGCACCTTTTGTTTCGTTCTGGGGGCATCCGATGTACTCTTTTTCCCTCATTAGGATTTTTTCCCACAGGGTTTTTCCTAATGAGGTTTTTAACGAGGCATCTCCCCATTGTGGATCAAAAGGTGTCAACCCTCGACCCCCTGTTGCAGACATCATCAGACATGCATTACTCTACTCCTCTTCACCTCGTTACACTCGCCTCAAGGAGTGGGGGACTGGGAGAGCGGGGGACTTAGTGCCTTCGCTACCAAAGAAGCAGAAATTCAAAATTTTTGCAAGGATTGCCACACGCACCGACGACATCATCATCTCACATACATATTCAGCTGCCACATCGGCCATTACATATACATAGCTCCCCGGCCTCAGGACCGGTGGTGATGGTCTCTAGCCTGCGACCTTCGGCTGAGGATTTTCCCACAGGGTTGCCTCAGCCAGGGCTCACCAGTGGGATCGGATCATCGGCTTGGGAATCCGGGCGGGGCGCTTCGGTGACGACAGCGGTTTACTCACCAGACGACGACAGATCAGCACATAGTTCTACTCTCTTTCGCCTCGAGTACTCTCGACTCAGAGAGTGGGGGACTCCTGATAGAGTATATAGACTCGGACCCCCGGGTCTCACGACTATTGGGCCCGGACAGCGGCCCACATACGCTCAGTAGATAGCATTTATCTCATTGTACACTTTATTTATTCAGATGTATCCATTAGAATAGATTAGATATCATTTATTAGCCCTTTATTAGCCTTTTATTGTAACTGGGCCAGCCAGGCCCAAGCCTGGAAGCCCAACCCTCTTTTCTCCTATAAATACTCCCTATGGGAGCCATGTAAAAGAAGGAGATAATTGATTGGAATTCATTATATATATCACTTTATCTCTCTAGCTCTCACTTCTCTCTAAGATTAAATAATCTATCAATTTTATATATGGAATCTAAAATGAAGTAAAAAGTAACAATTTATCATTTTGTATTTTTGTATTTAAACTTTTTATAAATTTAAAAATTGTACATATTGAACAAAATAAAAATTAGACCCAATCTTGTATAATAGAATAATAGTTTTTGAATATTCATTATTTTTCATCATATATCACTATAAAATAACATTTATCAATAGAAACCTAAAGTACCTTTTCATGCCTAGGCTTCGTCTATTCCCGTCTAGCCATGCAAGTGTGCAACCATAAAAACAATCATAACATTTCTTTCATCATCATTTACTTTTATTTTAGTGTTTGAGTTTGGTGTGTTTTAACTCAATGAAGAAAAGATTTTTTTTCTTAACGCAATACAAGATTGTTGTTTATTGGAAAATTAAGATTGTCATCGTAAAGACACATGAAAATTTCTTGCCTCTGCTTACACAAATGAATAAAAAAACAAAACAAAATTGTTGAGACTTGAAAACAAAATAAAAAACTATATATTTATAGCGATAATTTTAAAAAAGTTTTTTTTTGTGGTGAAGTAAGGCAATTAGGCAAAAATGCAAAATGCAAACAAATTCCCTATTTAAGAATCAAAACATATAAAATTTTGTTATAGGATGCAAAGCAAATGTATTGCAATAGGCATAAAGTGTGATCCTATTATTTCGATTGTAAGGAGCTTTGTTGTTTGAATTCCTTAACCTTTGCGACTTTTCCCTTTGTGGATTTGATAACAAGACCCATATGATAAAAGATAGTTATAAAGATTGAAAAAAACTATTTGTATACACTTATTTGTACAGTGTCATTCAAGACAAAAAATAGTCTATTCATAGGTGTGTATGAAGTGTGTACAAATAAGTGTATACAAGAAGCACATCTGATAAAGATTTACATTTTGAAACATGAATAGCTAAAAATGTCATTACATACTCCTAATTGCATAGAGCCTGGAAAGACCTACCTATAAACATGTACTCGTATATAAAAACTTTTTTACAGTATCTTTTTTACAGTATGTTTCTGCCAATGAAATCTCAAAAATCAGTAGAAGCAGCACAAAAGCCAGTCTAATCCTTCCTTAATGACACACTGCTATTCATTCTGATCTCCTATAAATGAATCCAGACGTTCAGACCTTCATAGACATATCATGGTGGCTTGAGGGAGCGAAAACTTCCAGATTTGAGTCAACTTGGTACATACTGTGAATTTCAAAGAGTACTCTATGATGGATATATACATAAATGAAATCCTCGAGACCGGTCAATGTTTGGTTCAGTGTCTGTGACTGTTATATCTAAGCAGCATCATCTGTTGAACTTGATGGTTCATCAAGTAGCAGGTGTTCGTTGAGTACGTCCATCGCATTTCCCCTCCCAAGAGCATGTCGCTTTTGGAACTTTGAATTCATCTGCAACGTGTCCTCTTCTCCTCTTAACATTTTCAGGACCTGCATCACGCTTAAGATCAATATGATAGTTGTCCAAATATAGGCATGTTGAATGAAGAACTCTACTCCAATTTCTCAATCTCTCAGATTGTCAAGTTTTACACCTACAGGCTACAGATGGCCTAGGCCCTAGGCAGGGGCAAGTACAAATAATTTTTTGGTTAAATTTTTGCACAGAATTTTTTATACTAATAATTTAGGCATTTTTTAAATTTGGGGTGACCAAGTCTGAGTTTGCCAAAATCAAGTCTTTTTTATTATTTTTGTGGAAAAAGCTCCCTGCAAAATGTGCTGCTCACATGGCATTTTCCTCCTGTAAAATACCTTAAGATAGGCAAACTCATTTGCTACTGGATTTTTGGACATATACGCGGATCAGTAAAGTTACAGTACTAATAATAGGCACATGCAAAAATTATTAAACCAAATCAGTAGTTTTCTTGTTTAAATCTTGTATTCTACTCCGTATTTTTTTAGAGAAGTATTATGTCAAATATTTGGCTTAGTTATGACCTTGTAATTCCCAACAAGTTGTCCTAACATCTATTACTGAGATTTATTTAAGATGACATGCCTTGCTCATTGGAGGTCTATCTGCGGAAGACTGCTGTATACACAAAGAAGCAGCCATAGCCATGCGACTCATCTCTTCCATGTTATACACTCCCCCAAATGCTGGATCAGCCAACTCGGCAATATTTCTTTTGAGCAGATGAGGCTTGGCCTACATAGGCAGCCTTCTTAGATTTTAATCTCAATTAGGTATGCTGGATATAGAAACCACTTTTAAATGTCTGAGTTTAAGGCAGCATAACATACCCACATCACTACACTATTATGGGATTGATCCAAAGCAGGGCGGCCTGTAATTATCTCCAGCAGCAGCACCCCATAAGCATAGACATCAGTTTTCTCGTCAACAATTCCATGCATGAAGAGTTCAGGGGGTAGGTATCTGATATGAAGAATAATAAATACATAAATGTAATGACAGTGGAGAGATGCTTGAATAAATGAAGAAATGAGTTTAAGGTTTTCTGTCTCCACCAACCCAAATGTGCCTTCAAATTGAGATACAGTGAGGTGAGTCCATTGGTCAGGGAGCCATTTTGCGAGCCCAAAATCGGATATCTGCATCCATATTAAAATGTTTTTAATTGAAGGTCATTCCACATCAATTACTAAAGGTTTATAAAAAATTAGAGGGCCCCTCCCAAAATGTCAATGTGATATGAGGAGTAGTTTAGTGTTTCTCCTCTTTGGATTGTGTATTTTAAAATTTAAAATTGTAATAAGGGTGCACATTCCTCACAGGCTCACAGCCCTACAACCCTTTTCTCGTAAGAGCATATATCGTGCATTTTTCTCCACCAAAGACTCACATCAATGACATCCTCATTATGATTTAGATCGACTCTGGTATCACATTAACATTTTAAGTTTCATTCTAAAAATTCATCATGATAGGAGCAATAACTCCATTTATTATATGGTCGCTTGTTATGATATGAGATAGACTCTTCAACAAGGTTGCCTTGTTAATAACAATATAGCATAGCACTTATGTAGAAAACTGGTTAAGATGGTTGCTTTGATACCATTTGTAACACCTGGAGGTGGTTACTCTTGGTGGGCTGACCCCTCTAATCACCACACATTCATTAGGTTAAAGGTGTTTTGTAAGCTAAATAAGATACCTGAGGCTCAAAATCTTGTGACAACAAAATATTAGCAGCCTTGATATCTCGATGGATAATTCTTCGCTGACACCCTTCATGAAGATAAGACAGACCCTCTGCAGTGCCCAAAGCGATGTTGTATCTACTTTCCCAAAGTAGCTTTTCCTTGTGGTCTAAACATAAGACAATCATTCCAATTAAATGTAAGTAAATCATATTGATTTAGTACTTGGGAAATGAAAGAACTAACTGGAAGCAAGAATGCAGATAGACCATTGAGCAAAGTTGCTAAGCTCCCATTAGGAGACAGCGGTAGGACAAGATGCATCCCTCCTTCAACTCCATAACCAATAACACTTGCAATGTTGGGATGGTTCACATGTACCAAAATTCCGAGCTCAGATAAGTAGTCTGCTGTCATCTCCTCAGGACTTCCTCTTATCAGTCTCTTAACTGCTACTAGCCGCTCATCATCCAAGTGTCCCTTGTATACTTCTGAATAACCTCCCTCCCCAATCAAATTTTCTAAAGAATGACAAATCCACATTGTTTCAGAACCATATATACAGATGTATTTTTCAGCATTAAGTAGGAAAGAAAACCCCAAAAATGAAGTGGGTAAAAAAGATCTCGGAAACGTGATGTTGAAAAGTAAACTTGTTTTCTAATCAAGTTTAATACTCAGTACGTAGTATTTGTATCCTGAGCCTAGCTAGTTTAACATTTGATTACTTTTGAGTTTTCGACTATCTATATAGCCTGCGTTTCGATAGTGGCGGCTTTGCTTCAATCCGCAATTTTTCCTAAACGAAAACGCTGCATTTTGCAGCGGTTAGGTTTGAATCCGCCAAAAAACAAAGAGGGGCATAATGTTAAGAAAAGGCCCAAGATGTAGAAAAGTATACAAGTGGAAGAATTATTATTAATAGTAGAAAATCTAGATCACCATTTTGTATTAACCAAATATTGAGAAATATAAATAAAATCTTTTTCCTCCTTGCTATATCACTCCTCATTTAGCCTCCTGGTTTGCCTATCTTTTGTTTGATTGTTTCTAACACATGAGATGATGCATTCTTCAAAGATTAACTCAGAATTACTGAAAAGATGGCGTATGTACCAGGACTAAAGTTGTCAGTGATTTTCTGTAGCTCAGAAAGGGAGAAATTTTTCCAAGAAGTCTCAAAGCACGACGGTACTAAATGATTTGCATCCATTTCAGCAGGCAGAGCGGGCAAACTCTTCCTTGTTCTTTTCTTGGGAGTCTTCTTCATGGAGGGAAGAGCTGGTATGCTGGGATGAAATGTATGCAAGCTCATTGCTTGCCCTTTCTTCAGCTTCTTAAGGAATCCATGCCACTGAGAATGACTTTTTCCATCTGCTGGAGTCGGCAAGATACAGAAATTATTGGCCTCTGAGGTTGTTTCTTCACAAGTTTTCTTCTCCTCAATGGCCTCCCTACTCAAAGCTTTTCTGTCCTCTCCTCTACTCTGATCTTCATTGCCCCCCATGCTTAAGCATTGCATCTCTGAAACACAATTTTGAATCACATGAATGGGGACGTTTGGTTCCCTAATTGGGCCTTATAGCACTTCCATCAAAACACTAAATGATTAAATCCAAATAAATCTGTTATTTTGTGCAACCTGAAAGTCTTATTAACTCATCATTCTCTCTTTAATGTTCTGAACTTCTGATATGAGATGCTAACAAGAATTTACCTTCAGCTGTGAGAGAAATAGACGAACAAAACAATAGCTTTGGTGCAATTTCAGCAATCCCCATGTCATCATTTTCTTCAGCGTCATCCTCACTGTGAATGAAATCAGTTAAAAGAACTCATTTGTAGCTCCTCAAGAAGTTCATAGTAATAGAATAATCAAGGGCACTTAAACTGATTTAGAAGGGAAACAAAAGGATGAAAAACAATCACCAATAACTATTCCTCTTTTTTTCCGAAAAAGGAATTCAACAATGGACAACGAAACATGGAACACTTCCTAAAAAGGAAAGATAACTAGAGATTACTCCAAATGGAAAGGTTACCAGGAACAGATAAGTACGTAGTAGTTAAAATCTATAAAATATACCAGCATCTGAAATAAATTTATTGCCAGAAAACTTTTCAATTTCTCATTTAAACTCAAGTCGAATTCGAGTGTTAACCATGTAGGAGCAACTACTAACAAGATTATTAATCTTATCAACGCTCTCCTTTTCTACATCCAATGCTGCTCTAAGAGCCTAAAATGTCGGACCTGGCCAAATATTAGCTGTAATTTCAAATCATAAATATGCAACTACCAGTCATTAGTCATGCCAACCCAAAATAGAGTAGATTCAATCCTTATCAATATAAACTAACGAGATTATCTATTGCCTTTTCACATTTGGTGATATAATTATCGTAATTTTAAAAACAACAATAATGTGAAATTGAAGAAATACATGAGATATTATGAAATTCATGAGAATTAATTTTAAAAAAAAACAATAATGTGAAATCCATGATTCATGCATGGATACATACATATGTGTCGTACAAATCGAAATGATAAAATGTAATAAGAAGAATGGGAATATGGACAATAAATACAGCATTGGTAGGAGTGCAGATTATATGCTCCATCAGCCACCATTTTTATACAGATTCGGCTCTGAATGTACATTCATTCATGTTTGAGAAAGAAGGAGAATACCTTTGAGAAACGGTGGGAAGGTTGGACTTTCCCATGGCTCCTCCTCAAGGACAACAACAAAGGAAGAAAGAAAAGGGGATTGTATATATTCCTGTTCAGAAAAATAATTCAGGTTCCCAGGTTACAAGAGAGAAACACATTGAAATTGAGACTTGTAAATGAAGGACATAAAGGAGATAGGCACAGCCGTAGAGGGGAAATAGCGGTTGACAAGTTTTACCTGCTAGCTACATGCATGTACAAATAAGATAGGTAAAAAACTGTTTGTGCATATTTCTTTTACCTATCCAATTCGTCAAAAAAGGCTGATTTTTTTTAAATGTACGGAATTGTCTGTGTAGCGTGTAAAAACTGGTGTGTACACGCCCGAGCATGTACACGAAAAATGACTTTGTGATTTCTTGGGCCAATGCATTTGGTGAAAAGTTCTCATCAAGAATTTAATTTTTGAAATGTGTGAATTCTTTGTGTTGAATTTGTTATTATTTTGTCGAATGATTTTTAAAAAAATAGAAAAATTAGTAAAATCATCACCGTTATCAAAATTATCTAGACGTATTTATCTACGTTTATTGTTCAATTAGTGATGATCGACTCAAACTCATAACATTATTACTACTAATATAATTATAATAGTAAAATTAGCATGCAGTTATGTATGCCAATTTAATTATGTTCAAAATTACTAGAATACCGAGATCATTGCTATGTATAAGAAAGTTCAAGGCGTTGAAGAACCATGAGCAAATAGTAACATAAATTTGGATAGGTTAGAGAACCCAGTTACAACACAATTACTACAGAAATAAAAAGCTAAATCACATTTTCTTCTTCAATAAGTGCCACTAGTTTCAAATTCATTCTCTAATCTCTTACATATTCAAGTGTTAAACTCGAGCTAATTAATACGGAGTACTAACGTTTTGCACTCCATTTACTGTAAGTTTTGCAAATTTTTAAGAGATAATGAGTTTTTGTGTAATGTTGTAAATTCTTACTTATTGGGTTAGTGACTTACTGCTACCCAATTCTTTCTCATATTTTACAGGACTACGTATGAATAATATATGAAAACATGACTGAAATTATTACCAATACATCTTTATGATTATTTCAATGTAAATTTGAACATATTGCAAAAAAAAATGTAAATTTGAACATAATAATAATTACTCCGTACTATGTAACACCGTCCCCAAGTGTATTTATTTTTAAGTGAATATTGTATTTAACCTTATTGAATGGTTAACGAGTTTACGATGTTATGAATTTTTATTAATTCTTTTGCGGGCATAGTAAATTCGCACGTGGGGCCCACACCGGGAGCGGGGACCGCCCGATATTCCCGGGACCATATATTTTATTCATCTTGGTCTAGATGATATTTATATGGTGGTGGATATCTCGTTGAGCAATGGAAAGGCCCAGAGTTGACCGATTGGTCAAAAGAGGCCCAAATACCGGTATTGGTAATTTAACCGATAAAAGCCCGAAATTGGATTTCGGAGACCTTTAAATTAAAGTTGGGAAATGTATATTCATTATAAAGGGTATAACGATTAATAACACATAATATATTTTATTTGACCCGATAAAATAAAATATATTTAAAACAGTCCGAGAAAATACAACTTTCGGGACCGATTGTACACTTCTGGACAAAAGGGGTTGACCTCCCACATAAGTGGGGGCCAACCCACGAATTTTGACACATGAATGTGGAGGTGGGGCGGCTGGATTAGAAGGAGGAAGGAGGGGAGTGTTGGAGTTGAAATGATGAGCATCAAAGTAACATGAGGTGGACCTCCCATCCACACTCATTTGATCAAAGAGACAAAAATAATCCTCACCCACTCTCTCCCTCATCCCTGCGGCCAACACCCCCAATCAAGAGCCAAGAAAATTCTCCATCTTCCATCTCCATTGTTGAAGAAAGCTCAACAAGGAAGGATCCCAAGAAAAGGAATTTAAGTGCTAAAAGTGTGAAGGTTAAGGTAATAACCTTATCATAACTTTTTCTATATGTTTCCCTTCAATCTTATGAGATATATATCATATGGAGAATCCTTGGGATTGTTCTACATGAAAAGAGTGTAGAATGATGGGTTGGAAAGTGGTTCTAAGTCCAAAAACGGATTTAGAAGTCAAAACGACCGGTTCACCGGAAAATAACCTTTTAGGGGTTATTTGTATTGATTAAGGTTTTATGATGTTAAAACCTTGTTAGGAACTTGATTAAAGTATTTTTGAGCTTCGCCGGAGTTTCTCCGGAGTTGGTCAAAGTTCACCAGAGTTGGTCAAAGTTCGCCGGAATTAGTCAAAGTTCAACCGCGGAGCGTAGAACACGCTTAAGCTCACTTAAGGTGAGGATGACCGACTATATTGCTTATAATCTTTGGGTTAATTTCATAAGATTTCCTAAATGAATATACAATGTGATTTGCATGGATTATTAATGGTTAATAATGCCTAAATGAAATTACTATTGATTATAAATATAGTTTGCATAATATACAATTTTATTGAATAAATTGTGTATGCTTATATGTTATGAATATGATGGCATGATAGTGGTATCAACCATAAATTCCATTTGTGATAAGTATGCTTTTAATTCATGAGAAGGAGCCATGAAGGAATAAAAGTGATATTTTGATATTAAGGACAAATTTCATATTGAATGAAGAATTAGATTGAATTGAGTAAATAACTAATATTGAAATATTAGTGGGAATTGTAGTTGAATAATGGATGAACGGATCCTAAGAAATTGAATGGTAAAGAATCGGTGATTATTGAGCTGGGCTCTAGACCGATGTAGATAACGGTGATTATTGAGCTGGGCTCTATACCGTAGTAGATAACGGTGATTATTGAGCTGGGCTCTAGACCGTAGTAGATATCGGTGATTATTGAGCTGGGCTCTAGGCCGATGTAGTTGACGGTGATTATTGAGTTGGGCTCTAGACCGTAGTAGGTAACGGTGATTATTGAGCTGGGCTCTAGACCGTAGTAGATAACGGTGATTATTGAGCTGGGCTCTAGACCGTGGTAAATAACGATGAATTGACACTAAACGAACAAAGTTAATTATGATATGATAATACCCTGGTTGAGGGTCTTGGAAATTGAAACATTGATTATACTTAGTATAGTTGTCATTGTACTTGTCAAATGCTTCCAAGTACTGACCTCCCCTTCACGGGGGAGGCCACCTCACAGTTTCAGGTAGAACTTAAAGGTTGCTGTCATCGCCCACTTGTTCGGGAAGATCAAGGAGAGAAGACGTGGTTCGTGTTTCCTCCAGATTCTGTTTAAAAACAATTATATTAATGCTCATGGATATTATATTTTTGAATAATTATTTGGGGACTTGTATACCCGTGTTTGCCAAGGTGTGGCATGAATATTGTATCAAATGTTTCCGCTGCTTGAATGAATATTTTACATTATGTTTGTTTATGGATGTACTATGTGTGAATGATATTCCAGACGCCTTGTATGGTATGGATGTGTTGGATTACGGTTGACTATTCGTACTGTACGGCGGATTGTTGACGTGTCCGGGTAGGTCCGGGGCGTGACATACTAAAATTACTATTTTAGTCATTAAAATATAAGAAGTCACATTTTCCCCACTACATTTGTTATATTAATAATATTATAATAATAAGGCCTTTATTTTGAACATATATATGTCGTTATTTCTTTAAGAATATGTTTTCTATTCTTTAATTTGTATCTAATTGGTATTGGGCTGTTTATAAATTGCATCATTTTGTTACCATAATTATTCAAATATCTAGAATTTTTAAAATAAAAATATCTAGCCATAAATATTACCTAGAAGTTAATATTTTTGAATTCCTACATACATTAAATATATATTTCAATATTTATATGTCCAAACTGTTAACTTGGGAAGTATTGATCACTGATGTATTTGTGAATATTTCAAATATTGTTTATAAAAAAGTGTACATGTTGAGGGTGTTTGGGTAACAACGTGTTACACCAAAAGCAATTTTATGTCGACACTAAACGCTGCTAAATGCAGCGTTTTGCCCCCCAACACCTGAAATACAAACATGCCCATTATGTTCTAGTTAAATATTGATCTTTTGCTAGATTTGAACTATATACTTTTGTTTTATGTGGCTCTGAAAAATATTAAATTTAAACAACAATTTTTATATTCTAAAGCAAGGTAAAAACTAGAGAAAATTCGCGAAATAGGAATAAAAACGTTTGTAATTTTTGCCTATTTTGGAAAATACTACTACGTATCATGTTTAAAATATGATATTGATAAAACATGACAGTAATTAATCATATTTGAAGAATAAAAACATGACATGTTTGTTTTGAAATACACAAACATTTTTAGTCTAACAAAATTATAATAGTGAATGAAGGTTGGTATCCTTCATTTGTGTCAACATCCTTGTGCTACAAAAGTTGTACACTGCTCTTACAAAATGGAATCAACATTTTAAAGTGACTTTTTTACCCTTATATTCCAAACGGACGTTAATTAATGTCGTTCCGTCAAGTAATTTTCTGTAAACCCTCCAAAGCATGGCCTCATTCGCTCTAAAGTGCTGAGTCACGGGGCTCAGAAGGATGACACCACATTCCTCAAGGCCCCCCAACACTGACCGGATGACACGATGGGAGGATGTAAATTGGACTATAATCACAATCTGAGAGATAAAGATGGGGCTTCGTCCCCGTTACTTGTAGAGGCCCTATGCATTTGTCTCATCACATTTGTCGGGATTCGAATGGATAAAGATGTCGATTGGGTGATAGATACTTCAACTCGCTGGAATGGAAGCTCTCCACAAACGCAGACAGAGAGGCATTGAAGAGGATGCACAAAAGCTCTCCTTGGTCATTTGAATTCATACCTCATCGGGTAACTTTTTAGACTGAATTTCATCTTGCGATTACCCATTTGAAGGGAAAACGCAAATTTGGGTGAAAACTGAAAAGTTGTCAATTATTGAATATGGCGTGATATTGATACTACTTTGATGATGTACATGTTAGGCGGTGTTTGGATCTGATTCTCAAAACTGATTCTGCTTCTTCAGGGAGCAGAAGCAGAAGCTGGAGTGTTTGGGTGAAATTCCGGAAGCACTTCTGGTGTTCTAATTTACTCTCAGAATCAGT